ACATCAACTTGATGTGTGTATTTGAACACCAAAGTTACCGACAAATGTTTGGGTGACGCTGAACTAAATTTCGACTGAACTGCCCTTTTGTGATGAGAGTCAAATAAAGGTGATGAGCGGGGACCTTCCACATTTCTCTTGAAACGATACAGAGGCGTATTGCTTGATACAATACCGCTTATAAGCTTGATGGAAGCTTTTCGACATTCCACTACAGGTTCAACACTCCTCGGAGCTCACTGTTCAACTGATCAGATGTACATAAAAGCATCTTCTGAACCTGCCATGAGTTTCGAATGGAGCGCACAGCTGTGTCCGATTTAGTTTCAACAGGTCGCGTTAACCCAGCGCCGATCGACGGTAAGTTCCACTGCACTGCGTCACTGTTGACAGTAGTCCTGTTCTCGAAAAAAAAAGTTTCAACAGGTCGCGTTAACCCAGCGCCGATCGACGGTAAGTTCCACTGCACTGCGTCACGTCACTGTTGTAGTCCTGTTCTCGAAAAAAAACTATAATACTAATGGACTTTGATTTCGCGTCATCCAGTGGACGGTGCCGAGCAAACAACTGATGGTATAACCTTTCTGAGATTTGGGAAGAGGGCTCGGTTCACCCGCAAAAACCGCGTTAGCTGAGTAATTCATAGTGGGCAGTGCTTAGCAGAAAAAAGATGGCATATCACATAAGGGTTCTTCTGAGTACCATCTGCGCGACATGGTGACAACAGCAGCGAGGATGTCTCAGGCTTGTTGTACATTGCTTGTACATTGTGCAAATCCAGCTAGCACACGAAGAAAACTAACGTATTTTTAGGAAGACAAATTCGCACTACAGGGAGAACAGGCTATCAGACCACAGATCAGAATTAGGGCTGCAGACGTGATTCAATTCGGACACTACCAAGGCTGGTCACATCATTATCAAGACAGTAACGACAATGGTGACACTGATTCTTTAGCGCAGTACGGCTGGCTACAAATTCCAATTGTTCACACCAATCATAGCGCCGAATCATCGCTGCTCCAACAAGACCTAATGGACGATTGTTGTTTTGACGGTCCATAACTCCGAGTGGTAATCTTGGTTCTTTGTGGTCGTTACCATCCGCCGAGTGGCGAGCAACTGATCTAGATAACCATCCGCCGTTTCTTTCCAAAATAGGAGGCGAGCAACGTCGAGTACTTCTAAGCTGGCTTCCGGCAGCAGTGATCACAGCATTTCCGTACTAGTCGATAACTTTGCTCGGATAACCATTATTCAATACTATAGCTGACAAGCCCTCAAGGTCATTTTCTGATGTCCAAATGGCAAAAGTTTCTTCTTACCACGGGAAAAAACCTAGTACTAAGAAACTTTTATATGCTACGGTCGCTTTCCTGTCCAGGTAGGCCCACAGAACAGCAACCTGCTGAGTGATCCACCTTCGTTTCTTATTACGCGGACATTTAAATGTGCGATGGTGCCCTACAGGGGTTCTTTGTGGTCGTTACCATCCGCCGAGTGGCGAGCAACTGATCTAGATAACCATCCGCCGTTTCTTTCCAAAATAGGAGGCGAGCAACGTCGAGTACTTCTAAGCTGGCTTCCGGCAGCAGTGATCACAGCATTTCCGTACTAGTCGATAACTTTGCTCGGATAACCATTATTCAATACTATAGCTGACAAGCCCTCAAGGTCATTTTCTGATGTCCAAATGGCAAAAGTTTCTTCTTACCACGGGAAAAAACCTAGTACTAAGAAACTTTTATATGCTACGGTCGCTTTCCTGTCCAGGTAGGCCCACAGAACAGCAACCTGCTGAGTGATCCACCTTCGTTTCTTATTACGCGGACATTTAAATGTGCGATGGTGCCCTACAGGGGCGAGATGGTCCAAGTGGGTAGAGCGCGAATTCACCGGCCTGAAGGTCCGTGGTTCGAACCCGACCTCTGCCTCTCGACTTCCCTTGTCTAGGCTTGGGCAACTTGGCAGTATACTAGTCCGGTTAGTGTCCTACAAGAATGGCCACTCTCCTTTCTCGCATATAATTTCCTAATGGATGAGATAATTAAGCGAATTCGGGAGAGTCTCCCGAACACCAATGTTCGTATTTCTTCGACCGAAAATATTGTCGACTTAAAAAATGCAGAAAACATTTTTCATTTATTTTCGAAACGCGGAATGTCATGCGGCAGGATGTTGAGTCTTGAGACAAGCCTTAGAGAACTCAAGGAAATTATGTACCTCGAAAGTTGCATTAGCCCTGACAGTAGTGCGACAGACAAAGTCAACGAACGAATCCCAAGGGCCAGTATTGTGCTGGGCTACCTGTTCCAATTGTGTCAATAAAAGTGTAGTTATTGAATATCCATGCCTATCGAACTAGAGTACGGAGTGAATTGTCGTACGGCTGAGGGAAGTGGCGGATCTGAGCAGTACTCAATATTTTGACCACTGAAGTCCCAGAACGATAGTTATAATCGGCAGTATTTTTGGAAAATAGGCCTCCGGTTACATAAGAACGCATTCAGTTAAGGTCATTTGGCAACGTGCCATTCGTGCCTAATTACCGACTACCCGATTAGGAGTGACGGATACCTAGATGTGGGCAAAACATGACACGACAGGAAGGAGTGAAAGATGTCACGAAAAATTTGGGCACTTTTCGTACCGTTCATATTGGGGGATTGTGCCCAAGTGAGCCTTCCTGTGCGTGGTTAGAGACTCAGGGATATAGTAGTTGACCGATATCAGTTGCGCCGACGCTGTCAGTTTCTACCTGAGCTGTCTGACTAAGCTCAATAGCTCCGATGTTAGGGCGCGTAGTTACGGACTGAAAGGGCCGTAGTCTGAACTCACTATGGGATCTCGACTGCTCCGACTGGGCGACCTGACAGTATCTCGGGGCTCGCGCTTCCTTCGGGTGGCACGGCAGATATGTACAGAACGGTGCTTCACAGCTGAACCACTATCAGTCATTTCGTTATTACGGCTGTATGTTGGAGATGTAGACACATTAGAAGTTTTTGGTAGACTAGCCATGGAGACCTCTCCGTTTCCCCTTTCCTTCGTACTTTAGAGCTCTATTCAAATAAATTGACGTGGCTTTACGGCAGTAGAGCACCGGAGCCAGTGGTAACTACGAGCTCAACACTTGTTGACTTCTGCCACTAGGGTTGCGTACCCACGAGTCGATGACGACAACAAAGTGTGGCGAACCCAGGTGGCTACAAACTCACCGTCCAATCATCTTATTGCTGCCACAGTAACCGCACAGCGTGAAGAATACATTATGCAGCGGATATAAAAAATGCAGGTGTGCATACTGATCGTACTACTAGATATCAGTATTAAACTATGGATCCATAACGTAGTCATCATTACCAAAAACAGTGAGCTGCAAGGAACAATCGACCCAGCAGACTGCGTTTCCGATTATATAAGATTCATGATGGAAGAAAACAATACAAAACTGCCATTTTTAGATGTCTTCGTCAATAGAGTAGAAAAAGAACAAGCGCAAACGGAGGCTCAAAGGAAGGCGACTCGCTCACACACACAGCAACCATTCAAACTGTGACAAACAAAGCTGGATTCGGACATTCATCAAACGAATCGAAGCAGAATGCAACAAAAGAGGAATGCAAATAAGTGAAGCGCTTATACAAAGTCTTTCAATCAAACGCCTACTCAATCGGCCTGATAACCCCAAAAATAGGAGAAGAGAATTATGCTGTCATGCATCAAAAGACGTTTCTGAAGTGAGCAAAGAATGGGACGTAGCATGAGTGGCCTACAGACCAAAGGGTAAATCTGATACAGCAGAGAATACCAAAACTATTTATAAAATCAACGCAAGAACTGTGCCAAGCACTCCGCGGCACAAACGGGATGGAGGCTATCAACCAGAATTAGTGAACACAGGCGTGCTGCTAGAACACATGATCAAGTCTCGCTCGTCCCTGTACACGAAGACCAGGATGGACAAATTTGAGATAAAGCAAGAACGCAGGAAGAACGGCGTGGTATTCCACTGACAGGGAAATGAACTCAGGCATTGATATCGACCCTGTCTACTCATCTTTAGGAACAAAAGAGATTCAATTATCAAACTCTTAGCCGTACAAGGAATGAGAAAAACCAACAGAACTAGGGCAAAAATTCTCCAGAATCAAAAGACAAATTACCCGGACCGAAAGTGCAACTCTCAAAAAGGACCTGCGATTCCCGGAAGCGAACGGGCAAAAATAATAAACACTCTAGACAAAAGTGGTGCAAATCGGTCAAATAAACCACAGAAAAGGGACCGCATATTGAGAATGGACCAACAAGGATGCGGACAGAATACCACTGAAAACGAAAGGTAATCAACCAATGAAACAACAGGAATGCGGATCACAACGCAGCACAAGTCGCAAACGGACTTGTTTGACCGGTAGGGTGAATATGGGCGGTATGCGGTGGACCCACAGGGTGAAATACAGGCATCTCACGATGAAAAAAGGTTGCGAACGGACCAATCAGACTCTCACTAAGGTAACTTATGGACAATCACGTCACATTTTCTGATCTAGACAATTAGACATTGTTCAAAGTCAATACATCCCACAGGTACATGTGATAAGGAACCTGGTGACGTATTCTCTAATATTTTTGACACCAAACGCTCAAACAAGGAAAAGTTCATATTATCGCATGCATAAGAAAAAAATATTCAGTGGCACACGTGGGAAACATCTTGCAGGGCCACATCGGCATTCTCGCGTAGGCCGCCAGTGGTCGAGATGTAACCTTCCTGTGAATCAGCCAAAGGGTGTTCCGAGTGCATTAGGCTACAGGCGCTCCACTTCCGTGTCCTGAGGTACATAATACTGTTGTGAGTCTAACTACTCGACTGTATTCCCTTCTTGTTTACTCTTGTGATTACGCAAACACCGAAGAAAAAACACATAAACCAGGTGGGTGATGGGGGTCATAAAGGAACACCATGGTGACGAATACTAAACATCCAAGGCACGTACCGATTAGGTTAATCATGGCCTCGTTGTACACAGCGTACAGTCGAATGAGGTCGCGATACAAATGCAGATGCGCCACACGCAGGACCGAATTGACCAGCTCGTTCGAAGTGGCCTGAACAAAAAATTCAACATGTGCGTAGAATGAGCTGAAAGCACACAGATTAATCCGACGTCGCACGCACCATAATGCGTAGATAAGTTCTCACGAGCGCACTCAGTTAGGCTGCTCGCACGCCCATGAAGAGCGATGCTAACAGAATCAATAACACCGGAGCGAATTCAACGATGAATAACGTGGAGGCTAGCTGGACCAAGAAACGAAGCGAAACGATTGACGAAGAATGGAGTTTTTACCATGCACAGAAAAAACGGGTCTCCATAATAACCGCTTCGGGTCATAGCCCCCACATGGGCAAAGTGAAGGAACACAGGTATAAACAGGTCCCTGGAGAATAAGATGGGGATTCCCAGTTGCCTTCTGGCTATTGTGCAGATTCTAAGGCGCATACTGGTCCAGAGGAGTTCCTTAGCTGGGTACTGTGCCGAAAAACCGACAGTTCAGATGGGTTTTTTATTAGCCACCTATAATACCTGAGTTACCATCACTTCCATCAATAGTATGCGCTAGTAGACTGATAATCTGTTTGACAGATTGCTTGACTCGTAACCCTTCGTAACCTCGATCTCCATCCCCTCTGGGAAGGCCACTCCTCAAAATAGACCACATCCAGTTGGCTCCTCAAGATGACCTTTCCCGTTCATTTCTCACTCGGGATATTCAACACAACATCCAGTTATTCGGAAAATTAGGCCGATTAGCATCGGGTCAACTAGCGTCGGCTGTACGCTGCCTTGTAATTCATTATACGGGGTTAGGGGTAATCCCTTCATTCTGTGGATGTGCTAAGAGTTAGGAGTCAGCGCCAAGTCGAGCTCCCTGAGCAGTGTACACTCTTTTAACCCTTTTAATCAAACGACCCTACTCGCATCAACCGTGTAGCTCTGCAAAGCAAATACAAGGATTGCCCATATTTGTGGCGCACGATAACCACTTCCCCAAGGCAACCGGGTTCGTTTTTTCTCAACATTGTGTTGTAGATCTGATTATAGAGCATGCTTGTCACAAGTCAACTGACCAGTTTCGGAATACAAGTCCTGAAATAATCCAGTGACACTTTGGTGGACATGAGTAGGCTAAACCCCTAATTTTGACCAATGTTCAACCGCGTTATGTATATACAGCATACGCACCCGTCAACGAACAGTGCCCCCTCAGGATCGCTTGATCAATCACACGCTGCGGTCGCTTTTTCGACTGAACAGTCTGTTCACTCGTCTGTCTAAACTGTTATGGAATCATTTCGAAAAAGCGACCCCAGCGTGTGACTGATCAAGTGATCCTGAGGGGGCACTGTTCGTTGACGGATGAGTATGCTGTATATCCATAACGCGGTTGAACACAGGTCAAAATTAGGGGGTGTAGCCTACTGATGTCCACCAAAGTGTTACTGGATTATTTCAGGACTTGTAGTCCGAAACTGGTCAGTTGACCATTGTCACTTGTCACAGCTCGATCCCTGAAATCGGGTTGTGCAAACCGTAAACATTGTCGATGGATTTTCAGCAACCTTATGAGTAGTACATTACAAATATACACGCAAACACTGTCATTTGTCTCCGAACATGTCGCTCACAGAAACTGCACCGATCGAGATCCGCATGAAACCCGTTGGAAACTGTTTCATCCATGTGCAGAGTAGTTTCACAAATTCTTTCGCTGGCACATATGCACTGTAAGGTGAGGACAGAGGAAAAGCAAACCTAGTTCACGTCGAAGAGGCGTGAACATTCAGCAAATCCTTGAGGATGTGAGAGGGGCTAGCAAATATATTCATTGCACGATAGACACTAATGCTCACGTGGCCAGATAAAAGGTTCCTAAGCTCACATGACCTGCGTAAATGTTAGGGAATGTCGACATTTCGCAAGTACCATTATTTTTAGCTCGGATCAACCCGAATAGATCAATCTTATCGATCGCAGCCAATAAGCTGAGCTCGCAGTGTGCTACCTCGAAGTCAAACCTGATTATGGGAGGATTACACATCGTAGATTCACTTCTGTTCGTACTGACCGTTAGGTAGAGTGAAGAATCGCCAGTGGGAGAACTGAGAAAGACATCGCAATAGGCAAATTCCGAAGACCCTTTGCAATGGGGCCATTGATTGCGGTGAAATCGCATCAAAGTATGAAGTCGTGAAACCCCTTCAAGCGTATGACTGTCGAGCGATCCGAATGAAGTGTGAGTCCTGATGTACCCTCAGGCCATCCGAACCTCAACAGGAGCAAACTCAGGGCTAGGATTTGGTTCCAGCCTCGAAATGCCGGGTCAAACGGCCGTGCCTTCAACAGAGTCATCAGTCCCAAGTGCTGAGCCTACAAGGAGAGAGTTATCAATGGGATGAAGAAGGGGGGAAGAAACCGTATGTGAAAGCGAAGGAAGGCGTCAGTAGTAGCCTGTTTTCGCTTACCTGCCCTGCTGTATGCAGCGAGTAAGGCGACGCGGCTGATGTCACCACGCGACGGCCGATGTGCCATGAGTTTATTTGTGTATGTGAAATTCATGGTTGTACGTGGGCTGGGATACTGCCAGGGCGCCCACACCTGGACAGGAGGACGATTAGGGTCCTCAACCAAAGACTTTGGCTCGAAAGCCTAACTGCAAGGCAGCGGTGTTTGGCGGGAAATGCAAATGCATTACCATTTCTACGGAACAAGTCGCCACATGTTCCAACCCCCAACCTGGAGGGACAGGAGACTGTGTCAGACCTCTAACCATTGACCAACTTGATATGAGGGACTCTATGAGAGTCGCGTAGACACCCCCCTAGTATAGCTCAATGGATCGGTGACGTGCGTAAACCGTCACACCACGCTAAGGTCTAGTCTCTTCAAAAGTTCAACATACTCTCACGCGCCCAGAGGTATGTGAATGAATGGACCGGATCACGTTCACAAGCTTCCGGGGCATACCCTGTTGAGCAAGTGTAAGTTCCAAAGGTTCAAACCAACTGCACTTAAGCGAAAATTCTAAGAAAAGATCACGTAAGAAATACCAAATACCCTAAATGGAAGTGGACTCGAAGGAAACACTCACACAACGGGTCAAAGATAATGCCTCCTCCTCTGACAACGACTTAGCAAGCTAATTATCAACCTCAGCGAACAGATCAACGGTCACATGATCAATAATAACAGGGTCGTAGAACATTCCTACAAATCACTTAAAAAAACGACACTGGCGGCCCATAGTTGTCGCGTCATCTCTTACACAACTGACAACACCCTTGGACTTATGATGTCAGAATTGTTAAAGTTGTCCCGATGCAGCTGTCATCATTACCAACCGCTGAAATAACGGTAGCATCCGCATAGGCACACAAGAAAAGGGAAGACTACTGCGTTGTTGTTATCCAAAGTTTGGAATTTATCCACATAGAGGTTAATAGACGCGATACCTTTCTTCACCAAAAGTGACGTAGGCGACGCAGCACTGCGTCATATATGAAGTGGGTCATGTGCGGGTAATATAGGCACAACCGATTAGTGACGTGACGGAAACTAGATGTTGGGTTAACCGAATTTTCTGCAGTGGAAGGCTTGGCCAATATCATTTTACACATATCTACTAACCGACAAGTCTTCAAGTATGGTAAAACAGCAAGTGGTGTCAGGGTAAGGATTGAGGGCCTAACCAATAGAGCCCGTACTACTCTGCCCAACCCTGGTTTATAGGTCCCGTGTGACAATGATCACAACTCGGGGCATCATGCGATCATCGAATCGAACGAGGACATGAGACAACTAGGTCATATCAGATGCGGTGGATGGCATAAACTTAGGACCTAATGGCCATGACGCGAGTTGTATCCAAAAGCTACCTCAAAAACTACTAGCTTCTTCAAGGTTGCATTTGGCAAAAGGAAAGCGCTTGAACAAAGAGCGAGTAATGACGCTGTTGGTAGCTCCCGGAAGCGTTACGTACGAGTCGGAGACAAAACGCGTAGCACGGACGAACAGATACCCAATAGGACTATTTCAGAATCAGACGAAGAAACCAGGAGATCTATTCGTGCGGACGACTAGGAAATGTACCAAATCTCAAAACGATCATCAGAAGCCCCATTTACAAATGTTCAGAAACTTACATCGAACGCAAGGAGGGCATCGAGCTGATTTTCAATCACCGGGAGGGTTTTCAGGAGCTAAAAACCAGCGAAGAGCAACGGAAACCTGTATGAGACCTGAGAACACCAATAGAACAGTTAAACTCGAATTTTCCTGAATATGCTCATCATTCTTGGAAACATGTACAATCTCGTCAAGCTTCAGGGAATGCAGGTGCATCTGATTGGATGACTACGGAGTGATATAGCGACAGAGTAAAAACCACACTGGACGATTCAGCCCAACCCATCTGGCGAGTTGTACAAATCAAGCGGGATGTAGTAACACTCGTCATGTGGTTTATCCTGTCCGATTGCTTATAAGATAGCATGTAATGACAGCCCCCTAAAGTTAGGCGTTGCACCATGCGCTCCATGTAGTTTGCGTACTTACCCAACCAGACCATAATGGAAACACATGCGTTAAGAAACAGGCGACAACGAAGGAGAGCCGTGAAATCAGAAATAGCAATGTCACTGGTTGTGGCAGTCAGAAATTTGGCCCCGGTAGAGTGGCGATCCCCGTGCTCCAACCTGCGCCACCCACGAAGTTACACAGACAGTTAGGCACTTGCCAAAAACCGTGCTGTGATGTCAAACTGGGACCGAATTGGTTTGCGCGAATACAATCGTTTGGACGACTGCATGAAGGAGATACGCACCATTCTACCTCCGGGTTGCTAATCAGGACTAGTGATCTAAAAGACTGCGAAATACAGGATCTTAAGTGGTTTCGCAAAAAAATCTTTTGTAACCGATTTCTTTGGAAACACGTATGGTGCTGAGCGAGCTGGGACCTGATAAGAGCAACTTAGCCAAAATATTCGATGGAAAGGAACATACAAAACGTCATCACTGCTATTCACTTAATAGACGGTATACAAACGAATGACCAAAAAAACAGATGATCGTTCAGCTGTGGCGTCCTTTCGATGCATAGTAGCTATCCAAATTAAAGCTATTACGTAAAAGTCTAGACAGAAACAGTCGAAGAGATCAGGGTTTTATTCCACCGCTGAGTTCTCAGTCAGTAGTTTCGAAACATAATCACTAAACTATCTTGAGTACAGAAGGTTTTCCAAATCCCCTTTACCAACACATTTGAAGAGTTAATTCCTTCAGGGAACTGTATCTTTAAGGCAGAAATGCCATCAGATACCAGATATATTAACTAATCAAAATGGGAATTCTTCCACTATGATATGTGGATCGGTAACAAGGGCGAACGTGCGGCGAACATCTCCTTTCCACGCAGTACGATGTTGGCAAAACAGAACGGTAAAGCGCAGTGCACAAGGTAACGAAAACCAACGCGTAAGCAAAAACCTGGCTCACCTTGGCCTGCGGCATTGTGCGTATACCACCATCCTCCTTTCTGAAATATGGAGAGACAATAAAAAGGAGTATTTTAAAAACATCTGGGCGCAGAACCAAGATTCAAATGAATATTTCTGGTTCGGATTACTTAAGCACATGGATGGAAATAGACTTGGATAAAAATCGTGAGCTGAAGCTGCGAACAAAAAGCAGTCTTGCTCTGTTCCTAGTAGTTATCTACCACAAAGGATAGCAGTCGTTCCCTACAGCGACGCTCCACAACAAGTACGCCATTATGCGGCTGCTTTTGTTCCGTTCGGTCGGATTCCGTTTGTGGCAGACGCGTGCCAGTTCCGTCGACATGAACAAAAAGTACCGGCTTCAAAAAGATTTTGGACTACCTCCATTTTAGAGAGTTTACCTAGACTGTTAGCTTGAGTTCACTAAACAACAAACGAAATCGATGCACAGACGAGTGTCAGGGTGCTGGGTCTATATTCCTAGAGCGATCTGCGTAGATCGGTTCAGTCTACGCGCGCTGTGAAAGATTCGTCGTACATTATTTGGCTGACTAGAAGTAGAGGTTCAAGTAGAACACGAGGGTGACAGAAACTAGGAGAGTGAGTTCACCTGATGAGCCACAAGAAGAGCAAAATCGGTTGTGGGCTGTCGAGGGGCTCCCAGCATCCCTATGAGTAGTTTCCTTCAAGAATAGAAGTAGGAGGATTTTAATGGGTGTATATTAGTGACGTAAGTTGTAAGGAGTAACCACTGTCCGAAGATCGGAAAAGTCGCATCTTCAGGCAACGGTTCGAGGATTTCCAAATCATTTACGTAATCGATCCTGTACCCTCGCTAACCTCATGGTGATGATCAGGAAAGTTCAGAAATACGTCTGAAGATATCAGGTCTGAGAAAGTTCATGCAAACGAGCTTTTACTTGTATCCAGTTCGTTCGCAACATACAACAGTGTCCTGTCAACTTATTCATGCACCAGTAGAATGTAGGTTTGGAGCCATCCTGGACAATGCACTGAAAACTCGTCTGCTCCACAAAGATGTGAAGGTGAATAACAGAGAATGTTCGGGAAGAAAGTCTCTGGTGTACGGAAAAGCACCGGAAATCGATGAACATGCCTAGACAAGAAACAATGTAACTGCGGTCAAACCTGAATGCCTTCGGGATCAAGTCCAAAATTTACAAATACTGGAAGAGAAATAACAGTTCGATCCCATGATTGTCTTGCACCTGGGCAAAAAAAAGAGATCTGCAGTTGATTCTACGGAGCCGACTAGAATGATGCGGATACGTCATTCTCAGACAACATTCCACTGCTCATGAGTACTGCCTTAACGCTTTCATAACGGAGGAAGATTGAAAACCTAATGTTGGGCAACTGGAAGTCCGCGTGATCTACGGTACCAGCCAATGGGACGGAAAACAGCTGTGGAGCGTGCTTCGTTGATCCCGTACATTTAGCCAAGTCAGCTTCCTTCTGTGAGGTTAAGTTGTAATAAACCGCTAACATGAAGGGTATTGCTTGAGGGCGGTTGGTCTCGCAGACGCAACTAGATACAGGATGCAGCAACCATCCATTCCATCCAATGACCAAAAGCTTGCTTTTCGGAATGCCACTAGAATTTCGAGTGGTCCAAGAAACCAGCTGCCGTTAAAGGAAGGACAGACAAAACTAATGGTCCGCGAACTCGATGTAACGGGTGATAGTCAATTGGGAGCTCTACCCAATCCGCTAATCAATCAAAATATAAGTCGGTCCCAAGATCACTCTAGATCATCAGGAAGATTACTGCTCATACCGCCGTTGGAGTCGCCGAATTTGACCTCGCGGGTTGCTGTCTAGCGGGCTTGGCGAACCGTTTGCAAACGGATTGTTAACATATGAAATAAGGTTAGTAGGAAGGAGAGCCGTGAAATCAGAAATAGCAATGTCACTGGTTGTGGCAGTCAGAAATTTGGCCCCGGTAGAGTGGCGATCCCCGTGCTCCAACCTGCGCCACCCACGAAGTTACACAGACAGTTAGGCACTTGCCAAAAACCGTGCTGTGATGTCAAACTGGGACCGAATTGGTTTGCGCGAATACAATCGTTTGGACGACTGCATGAAGGAGATACGCACCATTCTACCTCCGGGTTGCTAATCAGGACTAGTGATCTAAAAGACTGCGAAATACAGGATCTTAAGTGGTTTCGCAAAAAAATCTTTTGTAACCGATTTCTTTGGAAACACGTATGGTGCTGAGCGAGCTGGGACCTGATAAGAGCAACTTAGCCAAAATATTCGATGGAAAGGAACATACAAAACGTCATCACTGCTATTCACTTAATAGACGGTATACAAACGAATGACCAAAAAACAGATGATCGTTCAGCTGTGGCGTCCTTTCGATGCATAGTAGCTATCCAAATTAAAGCTATTACGTAAAAGTCTAGACAGAAACAGTCGAAGAGATCAGGGTTTTATTCCACCGCTGAGTTCTCAGTCAGTAGTTTCGAAACATAATCACTAAACTATCTTGAGTACAGAAGGTTTTCCAAATCCCCTTTACCAACACATTTGAAGAGTTAATTCCTTCAGGGAACTGTATCTTTAAGGCAGAAATGCCATCAGATACCAGATATATTAACTAATCAAAATGGGAATTCTTCCACTATGATATGTGGATCGGTAACAAGGGCGAACGTGCGGCGAACATCTCCTTTCCACGCAGTACGATGTTGGCAAAACAGAACGGTAAAGCGCAGTGCACAAGGTAACGAAAACCAACGCGTAAGCAAAAACCTGGCTCACCTTGGCCTGCGGCATTGTGCGTATACCACCATCCTCCTTTCTGAAATATGGAGAGACAATAAAAAGGAGTATTTTAAAAACATCTGGGCGCAGAACCAAGATTCAAATGAATATTTCTGGTTCGGATTACTTAAGCACATGGATGGAAATAGACTTGGATAAAAATCGTGAGCTGAAGCTGCGAACAAAAAGCAGTCTTGCTCTGTTCCTAGTAGTTATCTACCACAAAGGATAGCAGTCGTTCCCTACAGCGACGCTCCACAACAAGTACGCCATTATGCGGCTGCTTTTGTTCCGTTCGGTCGGATTCCGTTTGTGGCAGACGCGTGCCAGTTCCGTCGACATGAACAAAAAGTACCGGCTTCAAAAAGATTTTGGACTACCTCCATTTTAGAGAGTTTACCTAGACTGTTAGCTTGAGTTCACTAAACAACAAACGAAATCGATGCACAGACGAGTGTCAGGGTGCTGGGTCTATATTCCTAGAGCGATCTGCGTAGATCGGTTCAGTCTACGCGCGCTGTGAAAGATTCGTCGTACATTATTTGGCTGACTAGAAGTAGAGGTTCAAGTAGAACACGAGGGTGACAGAAACTAGGAGAGTGAGTTCACCTGATGAGCCACAAGAAGAGCAAAATCGGTTGTGGGCTGTCGAGGGGCTCCCAGCATCCCTATGAGTAGTTTCCTTCAAGAATAGAAGTAGGAGGATTTTAATGGGTGTATATTAGTGACGTAAGTTGTAAGGAGTAACCACTGTCCGAAGATCGGAAAAGTCGCATCTTCAGGCAACGGTTCGAGGATTTCCAAATCATTTACGTAATCGATCCTGTACCCTCGCTAACCTCATGGTGATGATCAGGAAAGTTCAGAAATACGTCTGAAGATATCAGGTGTGAGAAAGTTCATGCAAACGAGCTTTTACTTGTATCCAGTTCGTTCGCAACATACAACAGTGTCCTGTCAACTTATTCATGCACTAGTAGAATGTAGGTTTGGAGCCATCCTGGACAATGCACTGAAAACTCGTCTGCTCCACAAAGATGTGAAGGTGAATAAAAGAGAATGTTCGGGAAGAAAGTCTCTGGTGTACGGAAAAGCACCGGAAATCGATGAACATGCCTAGACAAGAAACAATGTAACTGCGGTCAAACCTGAATGCCTTCGGGATCAAGTCCAAAATTTACAAATACTGGAAGAGAAATAACAGTTCGATCCCATGATTGTCTTGCACCTGGGCAAAAAAAAGAGATCTGCAGTTGATTCTACGGAGCCGACTAGAATGATGCGGATACGTCATTCTCAGACAACATTCCACTGCTCATGAGTACTGCCTTAACGCTTTCATAACGGAGGAAGATTGAAAACCTAATGTTGGGCAACTGGAAGTCCGCGTGATCTACGGTACCAGCCAATGGGACGGAAAACAGCTGTGGAGCGTGCTTCGTTGATCCCGTACATTTAGCCAAGTCAGCTTCCTTCTGTGAGGTTAAGTTGTAATAAACCGCTAACATGAAGGGTATTGCTTGAGGGCGGTTGGTCTCGCAGACGCAACTAGATACAGGATGCAGCAACCATCCATTCCATCCAATGACCAAAAGCTTGCTTTTCGGAATGCCACTAGAATTTCGAGTGGTCCAAGAAACCAGCTGCCGTTAAAGGAAGGACAGACAAAACTAATGGTCCGCGAACTCGATGTAACGGGTGATAGTCAATTGGGAGCTCTACCCAATCCGCTAATCAATCAAAATATAAGTCGGTCCCAAGATCACTCTAGATCATCAGGAAGATTACTGCTCATACCGCCGTTGGAGTCGCCGAATTTGACCTCGCGGGTTGCTGTCTAGCGGGCTTGGCGAACCGTTTGCAAACGGATTGTTAACATATGAAATAAGGTTAGTAGGTAACTGGGCAGCAGATTCATCCACTTCCATTTGCCCTTATACATAGGACTTTAAAGGTTCCGTTATATCATTCCGATTAGCTTGTTTACTTTCCTTGACTGCTGAGTTTCAGCGCCTCTTCTCGTCATTTGATTAGTCAACTGCAAAAGTATATTCTTTGATTCGATCGGTTCATTCACCGGGCTTCTGGTGCTTCTTGGTTCGCTCATCTGTGTTATACACTTTCGGGCGTCAAGCAGGTTTCATTTGTTATTTTTCTCCCTCGTCTGACTTTTGTTTCATATTCCACTTGGCTGCAGAATCCATCAAATCCTTTAGGTTTTGCGCCCCTTTCGCGCCTTGTTAATCTCATGTGGTTTGGCGTACAGTTTTGAGCTTCAAGGTTGCAGCAATTACACTGGTAGAGTAATTCGGCTTCAATGTGGTTGTTAGTGGTCATCTCAGTTGAATATTACCATTTCCTATGTGTTACGAGAAACCTCGTTAGAAGGCAAAGTAAACGAGTTAAATAGTTTACTTTGCCGTGTTCACCGTCCGGTCAACCTCGCTGATGCTTACCACATACGCCTTGATCCAAGACGTTGGTTGTCGACGGTCCGACAAATTTGAAATCTCAAAGCTCATAGAACAAGCTACATTATCACTGGCAAAAACACCACTGTGGTAATACTAATGGTTAAGTACCATAAACCTATGCCGAGTGGTGCGAACTGTCGGAGGTGATAGCGGCCACTTTATCTAGCATGGTGCAAGTTACCATACTTATTCCGTAATTCAGATACCTTCTTTTGAGTTGCGCATGTGCTAAATCGAATTGTTTCGTTGCCGACGATCACACGCGCATGTGTGTATGTGTGACGATGAAGGACATCTTGTAAATGCTCACCAACAGGACGAATACCCTACGGGGCAAATGCAAATCAGTCCAAGCTTAGTTGGATCACGCGCTTACTGCATACTTATTCCATGACACAAAACTAGGCAGTACTTGAAAACGCACTTGATGAACGACAATGAAAGAAAGTCTTCAGTTCAGCTCAGTTCGATTTGCCGGCAATAAATCGTGCATTGATGCACAAAGGAAGCCAGCCGTTGGGGGCGATCGTCTAAGGGGTTAAATGAGTCGGATCCTTTCACTTATCCGAAAGGGACGAGAACTAAACAGCTATGTATTGAATGGATAACCGTAATTCACAAGCGCCACTGGCTGCGAGACAGGATCATGTCTGTCGGCGTAAACAACTAGTGGTGCCCTATCCCACGAGGAGCAAGAGGCAGATCTCAAAGAAGCCATTTACGTTTCGAACAGAAAATATCGGAGCACAGTACCATGACTGATGTCAGTTCCCTCCCTTCCTTCAGAACAGAGGTTTTGGTGATATGAGATATTTTCAAGACTGTCGACAGAAACATTCACGCCGTACAACAACGGATTCTGCAGGCGCAGTGTTAGTGATCATTATCATGTCACCAAGCTTGGGTCGGGTGCGTTTGTCAATTGTCCTCTCCGGTCTACATCACCAATAGTACCATGAACGTTCGACTATACGCGAACCGCTTGTGGTTTTCCCGCTATGTACAGGCATTCAGTAGTCCAACAAGGATGACCAAAAGGTCCGCCATGGACGTAACCAAGCACAAGTAAGATATCACTAGCTGTCACCCAAACAGTGAACGACAGAAAAAGAAACATAGTTGGAGTGACAAGACCGGTCAGAAATACACGCCTTCCTAGAGTGGTGACGTACGAAAGAATCTTGGGAATGAATTCAAACGTTCCCACATTCAAAAGACCATTTTTATTCGGATGGACATGGATAATTCTAGAACAGGCTGGAAAAAAATGACAAGATAGTTTCACCAAAATCATAATCCGTGACTTATTTCAGCTGTACATCTCCTTCAAAGTTAGCAAACCCAGGATTTGGCATACAGAGTTCTCTGTCTTGCGGGGGCTTTGGAAATTGAAGAAAATGTGTTCAAGGAAACAGAGTGGAAAGTAATTCGTGTAGTTGTGGAATTTATCTTGAGTGGGGTACCCAAATTTGACAAGTCGACAGAGTATCACAGAGTATGTCAGCTCTCAGAAGCATCGAGCTAGTTGAACCCTGAAAGTCGAATGGAGATCCTTTGTAGATTAGTCAACCCCGATGCAGCACGGCATTAAGAAAAGGTTGTAAGGCAGTCAGGCACGGGCGATAAGTACTGATATTGCTGTCAAAGATGAAACAGACAAGACGGATTCACATATTTAAAATGTATCATTCAAAAAGGAACACTCACCCCAGCTTCATACGGCACAGATCAAATGCAACCTCACGATAAGAAGACGCCTTTTCGTCCAAGTACTTCGCATAGGGTCGTACAAAAGCCGCGATCCCATGGGCTGTTGTGGTTGGACAATGCGCATGGAGGACAAATTATCCACACATCAAAAAGATGAGCAGTGGTTTAGAAAGGGGACAAATAAACACGCTGAACCATCCGAGTTACAAATACTGAGTAGAAGTACTCGGTTTCAAGGCAATGCCAGAGACATAGGAGATCGGTGTGTCCGATCAACAACTAAAGCAAGAAGCCGGTATCGCACAACTTTTAGCCTCTGTACTAAGTGAACAAATTTAGACCAGTCTTGCGATTTATATTCATGCTTCCCATGGTCGTACACCGATCAGTTTTAACAAAAACATAGGCACTAATAGATTAGATGCCAAGTGTTAAGTCGCCAGAGGGAGAGACAGAGCGAGCAAACCAGCGGCTTCATCACTGGTTGGATGAAACACCGATGTATGTGACTCCAAGGGGGACAGCTTACTCATGTGAGTTAAATGTGAGTACGGGTGAAACAATAATAGCAAAATGAAGAACTGGGAATGGTTCTTGTTTTGTTTGCTGAGTCAGGCGATTTGTTCAACGAATTCGAACCTACTTGAGCAACGAACATTCTCACAGACCGAAATCTGTTACCTTGTTGTGGGGGTCGGGTTTGAGTGCGGTCACGATCCGAGGAGCTGAATTGGGTGGAGTTCAATTCCTAAGGATTCAGTCATGCCAGGAAGGCCAACGGAGAACAGACAGAAGATTAACGAGTACCCATAAAGTCGTACCATGAGTGCATCAAGGTATTCCATTCAAGCAAACAGCATATCCACATTTATGAGAGCATCGACTCTACCTTCCTACTAGGAAGAACGGGTTAGAAAAGGTATGTCCCAAAAATTCTTAAGATTCACAAAGATGCATAAGACGATTGACTTTAAAGACCACACTCTCCAATCGTCCGACGGTTGATCGTGACCACCAGGGGATTATTCACTACGTTCGGAATGCTTTAAGGACCAAACAGTGCTCCCCAAAATGCACCTATGCAGCCGGATTAGGAGTTAGATAATTATGTCTTACTCCCTGCACCCTAAGAACAGACCAGCCCCAGGCAGCAAGTGGGCAAGACTATTGACTCACTGGCTTCGGGAAAGGTCCTCCAAGATAACCCTAACAACCGCGGTCCCACGAATCAGACTTTTGAGTCAGAGGCTACGGGAAGGGTGCGCAAACAAAACCCTTCAGAAATGCAAACTGCTTAAGTAACCTAAATGATTATGCTACATTGTTTGGTATGAGCTTTGCACTGGTAAAGTGCCACTGCGAGATTGGGCGAGACCAAACCTACACCACAAGCCTGAAGGTGGACCGATCAGTGTGGCAGAGAAGTTCGCGTGCTACTGGCAGGTCCCATCGAGTGAACATATTGTGCTTTGGTGCTCTAACTCCGTTTACTTTGAACATATCCTAGATGATTGGGAAGGCGAAACAGGGGTAATTGTCTTAATGTTGAAACAAAGTTATCCCCATGTGTCCTAGGCTCTTAGGGGACTGTCTCACTGGAAGTTCAAAACTGAGGAAAACTCTGCTTGCTTCGTCAAAAAATCCGGTTATCAGTTTGTAAAGTAAATGTAAATAACAGGTCAAAACACCAAGTCAATAGCACCAGGAGGCTGGAATCCGGTGGCAGAATATGGCAAAAGCTGCGCATGATATAGTCGGGGAGGGGGGAGGTTCCTGTGAAGATGGTGCAGTTTTACATGCAACCTACCATACTCAAGTCACTGTTAGCCGGAGAACACCATCACCCGAAATGACATAGGATAGGTTGGTAAGTAGGCAGATGTGCGAGAAACACTCACGAAACTCACAGGAAACCTGACGGATAGATGTTCTGCGTCTGACTACATGCTCGACAAGAGGGTAGAAATATTGAGGAACTTATCGCGCCACAAAAAAACGTTCATCATGAACAGCAAAACCAAGAAGAAGTCTCTATGGAAAACGATCAAAAGCAAAGGGTCTACGTCTTCCGACACCATTCAAATAAACAAAAATGAAGACCACCAAAGTAACAGGGGCTTTAGGTGGTTCACCAATTCATCCTTAGGTTTGGATGCCGGTTTTCTCACCCATCACTCAAGTACGACCGCAGGAAAGAACGGAGTACTCATTCACGTCGCCAATTCACACATCCAATTGGCAGAGCTACATTTTGTGACTCCACTCGCTATCAAGTCCCGGTTTTTTCCCTAACACCGCATTCGTTTCAAAAGTGGGGTTTGTACCTAATCCCATCCCTTCATTCTGTCCGCTCATTAACCTCATTTGACAGTCAGCTGGTTCGAGTACATTTCTCCAAACACATGTTCTGGTTGCGTGATTGTACATAACTCCCCCTATGTCAACATCGATAAGGCCAAAGATATTTCTCAGTCTCAAGACTGATCAAGCATCTGCTGCAACCGCTGGGAGACGATCCACATGTAGCCTTGCAGAATCCGTCGATTGTACTTTCTGCCACGCGGCATTTCATTTATTCCCACGGAGTCAGTACATCTCCACCATTGTGCTCAGCATTTTGCACCCAGGTCGATCAAGTCCCTCCCATTCCATATTCCAGCTAACTCGTCAGCCCCTACTCAAGTGGATCCACTTGCCATTACAACTACGAACGTCATCAGTTTCTCCTTTCAGACACATCAGAACCTCCCTGGTCTGGACCGTATAACATCCCTTTAGCTCCGATGTTTGCTCTCCTTCACACACACAAACACTATGCACCAGTGTTGTGCCACCTTCTCTATCCGGAAATTTGGACCTCGTTTTAGCATGGACAACCTCATTTCAGTGACTCCATCACATCCAAAGTTGCGGAGTTTGTTGTTCACAAAAACAGCCGTGTAATCTCGAGTGAAATGCCCTCATAAGCTATCGTCAATCAACTTATAGGAGCCACCGCCTTATTGGTGACCAGATGATCATCTGCTCTAGACTTTTTTACGAAGCTAATTTGGCCGCGAAACGGGAAAAGGGCGTTACCGCTAAACTATCAATGTACAGCTGCACCCTCTTATGATATCCGGGACTTGGAACTTGGTAACAAACAGATCCCTACAAGTTCACCTACACGGTTTCTCCGATCAACAGCATCAACGCTGGAGTTCCCTATCCCTACTCTTTATCTACCATTTACAAGTGTACTATTTTCATCTGACTCCAGTTACATCCAATCGTTGTTTGACCATTATACTATCGTTCATATCACAGAAAATACAAACACTGTCTGTCTACTTAGTCCGCGATTGCAGTGTGAATCGTTCAATTATAACACGCTTTCGGTATCAAACTGCCGTGTCACCAGAAGGAAGCAAGAGGGTTAGGATACTGCCAAGTTGCTCAAGCCTAGACAGGGGCATTCGAGAGTTCCAGTTCGAACCACGGACCTTGTGGTCAGTAAATTCGCGCTCTGACCACTGAGCCATCTGCACATCGTGAGCTGAAACTTCACTACACTGCTAAACAAGTTCAATTATATATGCAGCTGACAGTATAGTCCGGACGATAAAGCTAACGTACCCACTGAGAATACACTTTGGAATCTCATAGACGCGTATTCGCTGGGAGTAGGTAGAAACACGTTTCTAGGACCAAAGAGCCGCATGCGCTGGATCCATCTAGCTGGCTTGCATGACTGCTGTGTGTTAATTGAGCTTTGGTCTCAAAACATCACTGGAATGCACCCGAAGAGTCCTGCATTGGAAGTGTTGCATTGTAGTCATGGTGAACAGCAAAACCAATGCTCGAAGCTTTACACAGTCATTTATATCACCATTCAGTAACCTGAAGAAATCACAAGGAATGAACTATTGCCAGATCGCCCACGCCTACACGGCTTTCAACACCGCTTGAGCTCTTTTCAGACTGCGATCCACT